AGCAGGAGAGCTGCTGTGCTGGAGACAGCCCTATGGAGCAGGATTTGCTTCAGTGGGGCTTTGGTGCTCACTGAATCTGCACCTTGAGTGTGTCACTGTGGATGTGGTAGGGTTGTAATCCAGCGTGGTCAAAGCTGTCTCTGGGGCCTTGCAGAAAGTGCAGTCAGCCTCTGCCTGTGCCGTGCCCAGGGCCTCCCAGCATGAGCTCTACAGCAATCTGTAGGTGACCGCTACTTGTGTTGGGCTTGGCCCAGAAAAGGCCAAGCTATGAACCAATGCAGGCTGCCACTAGTGCCAGGCTTAGGGCCACTTATCAAGAGGTATGGAGCACGCTGAGGCCAGCTGCTGCCTGTTTGAGAGATTTTAAGAAAGTCCCAGGCATGAGGCAAGAGAGGCCAGTTGAATGGAAAAGCCACTGGAAATGGCGTGGATGAGCCTGCAAGTAGAGAGGGGCGGGGTCTCAGGAAGTCACCAGGATGGGAGGAAAAGTGAGTCAGGTTGATGGAGATTCAGAATGGTGCCTGCCTGTCAGCTGTGGGCTGTGAAAACCAGGGACTGCCCACTCTGTGGGGGAAGTTTTCATCAAAGGAACAATGGGCCCTGCTAGCACTTCTGTCTGGGAGAAAGCTGCCCCTCCAGCTATCGCCTGGATTCCAGGTAAGTTAGTTCCTCTCCCAATATCTCAGGGTCCTTTCAAGCTGCTGCCCAGAGCTGGAGCTCAGAGGGAATGCGTCTGAGTAAGTGGGTGCGCCAGCCCTTCAAGAGGAGCTGCCTGGGACTCCCGCGGCCTCCGCGTCACTCAGCCATAATCCCTACTGATTTTTACAGCCTAAAGTTGTGGGGACTCCTCAGCACTGGAACCCCGGGCAGGGGCGCCTGATGTAGGGCTGTCCGCTCGCTGCTCCCGGGGGACCTTCACAGCTGAGATATCCCTCCCAATTTTAAACTGCCACACGTGGGTGTGGGACCAGCCAGTTCTGAGATTCCGCCCCTGGTCTCCGTCCCTCCTACTGTCTCAATGTGCTTCTTCATTAATTTCCTAGTTGTAGGACTTCCATTCAGCTAGACTTCAGGAGGTCCTAAATGATGATCGCTCTGTATTTTAGTTGTAATTTTGATGTGGTTGTGGGAGGCAGCAGGTATCGAGTTTCCCTACACCATCTTGACCGGACGCAATTGGCAGTTATTTTTAGCTGCTTAATTGTTGTGCCTGACTTTGTATTTAACAACTGTCCTATCAAATCACTGTGCATGCTGTTTCATTTCATTCACATACTTACAAAGTGTCAGGGACTTTAAATTCTACTAGAAGTAGTAGAATAGCAGAGTTTATATAACAAGAAAACTTACCTTGGAAACACTTTTATAGCAGCTAAGGAGCAATTAGTGCATTTACTCATATCATTCTGGTACATTTTTTTTGTAAAGCTGTTCTTCCAAATGACTATGACTTTTAAACAAGATGTCCTTATATTTTGTTCATATTTATGAGCAACATAGCATGTTATCACATAGTATGTATCATTCTAAAAGTTTATTTTAGAACATTTTAATGAGATATTTTAAATAACTTTTACAGCACTCTTAGGGGACAGCTCAATAGCAATAAATATTCCCTAAGTTCAGCTCTGAAATGTTTTTCTGAAACACTCTGAAAAATTTTTTCCATGACCTACAATGAGTTAAGACCTGTTGTGTGAACACATGGAATTCTGTAATCCTATGCTCTGTACCAGATCTCAGGTATTTCAAGTGCTGTTGAAGCTGCTCTTGGAGCTGTTCTGCTTTATAATTTGAGAGTCATCCTAAGCCAGTGGTTCTCAAATGTCTTGGACCCAAAGGGAGAGGTTTTATATCAGTTATACCTACCAATAT